AACCCTACACCATGACCTTAATATCCCATTTATTCTTGATCTTATCCCAGCCAAATTTTCCAAATTTCACCAGAACCTTTCTCATCACCCAAATCCCGTTGTACAATCCCTATCAAGCACCACCCATCCCTACAATCCCCTTCGTAGGTTAAAGCGGCAGTGGCCACGAGACCTTTTGTAAATATGGATATTTTGGAGTTCTAGCAATGGCCAGATTCTCCACTCAAGTCATGAGTGTCTGTGGCTGTAGCGCTCTTACTCATCCTCCGCTGGTTTAAAATACCAGTGAAGTGGCTGAGGGAGAAGCGTAGGGATCTCCTAAGCCTCCCTTTTCCCTCCACATGTGGAGGGGACAGGATTGGTTCGGAGATCACCTGGCAAATTGTAAATAATGTATGTTTTATATAAGGTGTTTGTTTTACTTTCATTTCTATTTTTATTTACTTATGTGTATATATATATTTTCTTTTTCTTTACTCTTTTGTTCTTTCTTCTTATTCTTTTGTTATTACTTTATTTATTTATATTTTTGTATATACGGTATGAATGCAATCTCTGAACTCTATTATAAGTGTCCTTAACTGTGACAAATTGTAATATTTCTGAATAAAGTGTTTTAATAAGTAAACTTGTATATATTACAGCTTGTATATATATTAAACTTGGGTTCATTACAGCGTAGGGGAGTGTCCCACGGGTGGCAGATGTGGGGATGGTCGGTGGAAATTCCTCTCAGCTAGATCCGATGAACTCGCTGGCCAACAATGAGAGGGGCTCTCCAGACTTACTGGAGGGTGTGACGTAGGATTGAACACCCTACTCACATATTTATAGTTCACAAAATACCAAACAGTCATGGATCCTCATAAAGTAAAACTCTCATTATCCGGAAGCAAACTAGTCCAACGATCGGGTCTCCGGGTGGAGACTGCTTTAAAGGGTTCATGGCGCAAGTTGAAAACTAGAGATTTAAGTATAGCGACGTGGAACCTAAGGAGTTTGAATACTGCAAATGAGGTTAATGGGTACAATTTAGATATCGTGGCATTGCAAGAGGTTCGTTGGCCAGGGATCTATAAGGGACGGTAAGTACACTTTTTGGTATGGAGGAAGCGGAAATTATTGTTTAGGTACCGGTTTTCTTTTTAGTAATAGATTACTATTCACTTTGAGAGATTTACAATTCTTTAGCAATAGGATTTCGAGGCCATATTCCAGGGGCGTTGGTTTAAAATCGCATTGATAAACATACACTGTCCGACCGAAGACAGTGAGGAAAAAGCCAAATGCGAATTTTATGGTAAACTGGAGTGGGTATATGATAAACTACCGCGAAGCTGCATGAAAATAATTTTAGGGGACGCTAACGCAAAGGTGGGAAGGGAAGAAGTTTCCGATGATTGGTAAAGAAAGTTTGCACGAATATAGTAATGATAGTGGAATTCGACTTATAAATGTTGCCATCTCGAAAAATCTGATAATTAAAAGTACTATGTTTAAACATAAGGATATTCACAAATATACTTGGACATCACCGGATTCGCAAACACAAAATCAAATCGATCACGTCTTGATACAACATAAGTGGCAAACTAGTGTAATTAAGGTAAGGTATTATCACGGGGCAGAATGCGGGTCAGATCATGAATTAGTAATCGCGAAACTTTGGCAAAAACTTAATATAAAGAAGAGTTAAGAAAACTGTTGCGATTCCAGGAATTTTTATTTGGAAAAATTAAAAAATCCATCAATTAGAATTCAATTTGAGCTTGAACTTAGGAATAGGTTTGAGCTTGAGAACCTTCTGAAGAGGACTGTGATGATATAGATAAGTTATGGGTAGGGATCAGGGATAATATTAAAGAAGCCGGTAACTTTAAATATTAGAGAAAAAATTAAAATACAACGGTGTTGTTCACCAGCTGTATATTGATTTCAAAAAGGCTTACGATTCTACTGTCCGCCAAAAACTATATAATATTCTAATCGAACAGAGGATCCCCAAAAAATTAGTTAGGATGTACTAGACGGAAACACTCAATTAAGTTAGAATCGGTTATTATTTATCCGAGAAATTTGAGGTTCATCGGGATTAAAACAAGGTGATTCTCTTTCACCTGTGCTATTTAATTTGGCATCACAAGACGTGGTACATAACGAAAAAGGCAGGAAATGCTTGTTATTTTTCTTTACCAAAATTACTTAGTTCTCGCTTCCTGTCCCGAAAATTAAAAATTAGAATTTACAAAACGATTATCCTACCTACAGTTCTTTATGGTGCGAAACGTGGCCGCTTACATTATGGAATGAACAACGGCTTAAAGTTTTTGAAAATAAAGTATTGTGCAGAATATTGGGACCGAAAAAGGACAAGTCAACCGGAGAATTTAGGCGGTTACACAATGCTGAATTGCGTGAACGGTGTCCGGTTAATATAATAGAGGTGATTAAGTTGAGGTGAATAAAATGGGCATGTAAAATCGCTGGGCTCAGTAACGAAAGAATTCCTAAAAAGTTAATATGTGCTGTACCGACTGGCAAGCATCCGAGGGGTAGACCAAAGCGAAGATGGGTAGATTGCGTTTAGGCTGATTTGGCGAGGTTGGGTTTAGACGGAGCCCGGTGGATAGCAGAATGTGGACATCAATTGGTGGTATCGCCATCGAACCTTCGGGATAGCTAAGCCTTATTATTATTATTATTATTATATACAAGTTAAAAAAAAATAAAAACTTTTCCACATTTTACACAATGAATTTTCCATGTCGATCCTCAAGTTACTGGTCTAATATATTTTACAGGCAGCAAGATCTGACTGGCAGACTCATTTTATAAATATGAATGTAATAAATATTTTAAAAAAATGCTTTTAAAGTTTTAATCAAATAATATCGACTTTTTCTCATAGACTCTTGGACTAAAATGAATTTTCCACTACTCTTCAAGCATGAAATATTAAATTATACCAAAGTTCTTGATCATCGATTTATAGATCTCTTCTCCAATACCGTGGTGCTTTTTTTTTCCTTTTATGATTCAAAGCGATTACCAAATATGCAGCTGCCATGACTGTATGTAATGACATGATGTACCAAACTGAAGTTGCCTGAATGGAATCGCTTAAGTTGCATGCTACACAAGTGTACGACAAAGCACATGTGATGTGGGACAACAAATTCCGCATGCGACATCAATTGAATTTTGTGCCACATATTCGTACGGCTACAATAGGCAATACAAGAAACAAGTATCAAGCTACATGTTCCGTGTTGTCATAGTGGAATTCCACCTTAAGGCAGCTTATGATTCGGTTTTGAGAGATGAATTGTTTCAGGTAATGAAGGAAATGAATATTCTTTCAAAAATTATCAGATTGGTAATGTGTACAATGAATGATACAAGCAGCAAAGTTAAAGGTAATGGTAAACTGACCAGCACATTTTAGGTAAAAACTGAACAATGTGATTCTCTAGCACCACTGCTTTCCAACATCGTACTACAAACTATAGTAGCTAGAACCTGTCTGGATGAGAATGGCAATATATTCTACAAAGGGGCGCAATTATTAGGATATGCCGATAATGTGGTGATAGTTGGAATGTCTCTCCTTAATGTCAAAGATTCGTTTGAGAAGCTGGAAAGAGAGGCTGGGAGGTTCTGCCTAAAGATTAATGAAGAAAAGACAAAGATTATGGTTTCGAAAAGAAAGGAACCCAGGTGGTCCCAGATGTGTTATACAGTCAAAAATTACACATTTAAATGTGTAGATAGTTTTAAATTCGAATTTAGGTTCATGTCAGATTACCTTTGAGTCCTCAATTGACAACTAAGAGAGGAATGCTGTGGCAAATATAATATACAAATTAGTGTAGTGAAGGCTTAAAGACTTGAAACTGCTTGAAATAAGAATGAAGAAATTAAAAAAACTATACTGGATCTTTTTATTCTTTTAGATTTATTTCTGTAACACCAAGCCATAATTCATGAATATGTATATATTCATGAATAATAATGATTAACACTTTGATTGCGGACGGGATACATGCCTTCCCGTTAAGATTAGGGTCACTGGTGCGGATGGGATAAATGCCTTCCCGGTAGTGAGTTGGGTCATTGGTGCGGACGGAATATATGCCTTCCCACCTGGACAGTTGCCACTTAAACAGGTAGGGGCAAGTCCTGCCTTTAACATTTGACTTGTGGCTTGGTCGAATCCCGCCATCGGTGTACTTTTTTAGAAATAATATAATTTAATTTTTATGATCACTTATAATTATTTTCAGTTATTTTGCTTTTTAGAAATGAACAAATATGCAAGAAAGCAATGTGTTGCGGGATCGGTACTCTTATTTTGCATTGCTACATGTGGCTGGGAAGGCATATGTCCCGTTTATTATTATAAAAGTTGAATAAAAAGGTTAAAATGCATTTTCGAAATCTAAGATCTAACAAGGTGGCTTAAAATATAATTTAAAATAAGTTTATGAAAAAAAAAAAAATCTGTTTTTCTGGAAGTCTTTATGGATTTCACCATCTGTCATCGAATGAGCTCCCACAGTCAAAGGGTTATTATAACCAGACATTAAAAAATCACAACAAATTTATTAATATAAATAGAGACCAGAGATCTATAAAATACATATCATTTGAAAAGAAACTTTTTTCAAAACTTAAAATTAGATTGACTAGTAATTAAGAGATTTAATATTATTTACTGTAGTGAGTTTAAATCAAAAGGAACAATTTCTATTTTGATTTTTTATTACTTTCGATAAACCTTAATCCAAATGATAAAAATAATAAATAAATACTATATTCAAAAACGTTTTTTTTTTTAAATAATATGAGAACAGTGAAACTATAAATAATGAATAAACAGTCTAGGAATTAACATACATATAAGTGTAATAACTGCTAAAACAGTTTATATTATAGTGGGATATTCCAAAAACAAGATACCAATAAGATATTCAATATAAAAATTAAAGTAGAAAACTTACCAAAGCCAAAGAGCTTCAGAAAGGACAGTGCCAATTAATCCATTGATTATTAAAAAACACCACTGGTTTTTATTGGGCCATTCAAACAGTTCCCATTTACAGTAATGTAAAACAAAAAATGTTGGCCATAATAATATAAAATTGAACAGACCAACAAACCCTAAAAAATATATATTATAGTGATATTACAATAAAAATAATAGAATAGAATAGAATAGAAAAATAATTTTACTCTGGGACGAAGTCCCTTCAGAATAACAAAAAAGTACAGAAATTAAAATTTTATATCTGGCCAGATAAAAACAAACATAAAAAGTTAGGATAAAGATAAATCAGTAAAAAAAAAAAAAATTTAGTTATACATACTATATACAAAATAAAATAAAAAAATCTATATACAAAACTCTTGAAACCATACTAAGATACTTAAAACTATGTACAATGGTAAAATATAAATAAACCCTTTTAGAAAAAAAAAAAAAAAATACAGGAAAAAATAAATGTAAATTCTTCTTAACAGTAAAATCTGTGTTTCTGTTGAAAAAGAAAAAAGAAAGTCGAATCTATAATAAGTATTTAAGTTATGAGTTATATGTGAATATATTATTATAAATAATATGTAATTTCACATAAAAGGTTAGCTGGTATCTGACTGTTTTTGGGACAGGAATTGGAATAGGAGGGTTTTGAATGTAGATAGTGATGAAGAATGTCTAATTTTGATAGGAAGAGAATTCCAAAAACTAACAGAGCGAGCAATAAAGGAGTTTTGGAACAAGGCAGATCTGTGAGAAGGAATATAAAGGTCGGAAGGTCGAGATCTTGTGGAGAGGGAGTGGACTGAGGACTTGAATTGGAGAAGGTTGTAGCGCAGGAAGGACGATGATTGTAGATGATATGATAGAGGAATGTACCTAGGAAATATTGTCTTCGAATGGAGGGGAAGAGCCACGCTAACTCAGTGTAGTGGTGAGAGATATGGTAGTATCTCGGGGCACCAATTACAAATCTCATGCAACTGTTCATTAATCTTTTCAGTCTGTCACGGAGCTCCACCGAGAGTCCATCATACACCACACAGCTGTAGTCAAAGTGGGGGAAGATGAGAGAGGAAACGAGGAGTCTACGCATTTGTTGAGGTAGGAGATGGGGGAAGCGATGGAATAGTTTGAGGGTAGAAATTGTCCGTCGGGAGATGTGAGAAATATGGTGATTCCAGGAGAGGATTTGATCAATAAATAGTCCTAAATTTTTTACAGAGGAGTAGAAGGAGATTGGCTGGTCACCAAGGTTTAGTATGGGAAAGTCGGTATAGGATCTAAGGAGGGGCTTGGAACCAATGACAATGGCCTGAGTTTTTGAAGCATTTAACCTTAATCCGTTTAAGTTTGCCCAGGCACAGATTCGATCTAGGTCTGCTTGGATCTTAGTAAATGCTACCAATAGCTCAGGGGGAGAAAAGGATAGGTATATTTGAGAATCGTCTGCATAAAGATGGTGGGAACAATGGAGAATTGAGTCATGGAGGTCATTAATATAGGAACTAAAAAGGAGAGGAGATATGCTAGATCCTTGGGCAACTCCAGAGGATAAAGGCAGGTAGGCAGATAGTGGTTGATTAGGAATGGAGACTGCTTGGGTGTGTTGTGAGAGAAAAGATTGGAGCCAAGAGATGGAACTATTGGAGAAGGAAAGTGATTTTAGTTTGTTGAAAAGGATGGGATGGTTAATGGAATCGAAAGCTTTAGAGAAGTCAAGAAGTATAAGGACAGTTAATTGTTTATTATCTATTGCAGTCTGAACATCATTGGTAATTTTGATTAAGGCGGATTGTGTGGAGTAGCCAGGACGGAAAACAGATTGGAGAGAATCAAGTTGGTTGGACTTTTTGAGGAAATTGGAAACTTGGGATTGCACCAATCTTTCTAGGGGTTTTGAGAGATTGGGCGAAAGTCTTCGGGAGAGGATGGATTAGGCTTTTTATTTAAAGGCAGTACAATGGCTTTTTTTCCAAGAGGAAGGGAATATTGAGTTCTGTAGGGAGAAATTGTAGATGAAAAGGAGAACTGGGAGGATTTCGGGGAGACATAATTTAATCAATTTGACAGGAATGCCATCTGGTCCTATGGAATTGGTGTGGGATTTCATTACTGCGGTTAGTAAGTCAGTCGGGGAAATGTTGGAGAAATAAGTCATCATACATGATCCATCCAGATACATCCAGAAAAAGTAAAACAATTAACTAGGATACAGGCAATCTATTTTAAATGTACTACTACAACTATTTATGAATAATGAATAATATAGTAGTTATTTTATTACTTAAAAATGTACTATAAATCAATTAATAATTATTGCAATATATTCTATTACAAATACACTTTTTTCAATATAAAAAATAGGTATTAATAAAACAATAAATACATAAAGAATAATGAAAAATTAATATGTGATTACAACAAAAGACTAGGAGGCACACAGTCAAATAATAAATAGCTTTAATATTGATTAATAACTATGAAAAATACTATGTTGTTGAATAATCGGGATGATATGGGATCAAGAAACAACAAATAATTGTTAGAGAATCTAATGGAGAGAAAACACTTAGATTCTCAAGATCAATCTTATAGTTTACTATCAATCAGAAATCTGTTAGTGAGATAAAAAGCAAAAAGAGAGAAACAGCAATTAGAAAACATTTAAAAACTGCGATCATTGGAAATGGAAAAGTCCAACCAGAAATATCATACAGGATAGGAAGAGCTAATAGTATATACTATTCCATTAGCAACACAATCGTAGGAAAGAGGGATCAATAAAGAAGTCATGCTCCACATTTTCGGCAAACTTCATGGTTAAGGCAAACTTTTATGCAGAAATTGCGAAGTGAAAAGAAAGAAGAAAGCAAGGAAATTAGTGAAAAGGTGACCCAAGTTAAAACAAAGAATAAAATAGTAACCTACAGAATAGAGACCTGTAAAATTGAATTGCGTTTGATGACTGGGACACTTTTATTAAAAGGTTAGAACTTTATTTCATTGCACATGATATTGAAGAAACTAAGTGTGTGTGCCAGAACTGCTTATAAAAGTGAGTGCAGAAACCTATATTCTTATTAGAAATTTAGTAATACCAAAACACACAAAGGATCTCTCATTTAAAGAAATTGTTTCTTTAATGTCTAAGAACTTAAATCCCAAATCTTTGGAACTATTAGAAAGACATAAATTCAACAATAGATATCAGTTAGTGTCAGAAACAATAAATGATTTTGCAGTAAGTTTGAAAAGAGAATCTATGTACTGTAACTTTCCTGATGTTGATATGTCACTAAGCGATCAGTTTGTTTTTGGTATAAAGAATCATGAGACATGAGTTGAGTTATTTAGAAAAGAGAAGGTTTAATTTTCAGATGCTTTGAAAATTGAAGAGACCAGGGAACTGACAATGGAAACTGCTTCTAACAACGCAGGCACTTGCACACTTGCAACTCACTGGATACCGTGTACTATATGATGAGAGGAAATGGGGACAGCAACAAAACACTTAAAGGTATAAGTCTAGAATTAACTCAAGGGCGGTCTAGTTATGAGAAGGTGCAATGTAAAGAAAACTTAATTAAAACAGGTAATACACATCCATTATTATTTAATAGCAATAAAAAAATATATTAGTTGTTTTTATTGTAGTCAGATTAACAGTCACTATGCCAGAGAATGTATTCACAGATATAGAGTGTGTAACTTTTGTTATGACATTGATTTGCTAATAAACGGAGTTAAAATTACAATACAAGTAGACACCAGATAATATGTAACAATGATATCTAAAGAGTCAAAAGATCGATATTTTTCACATACAGCAATGATCGAATCTGACTTAACCTTAACGACATATGGTAAAAACGATTTGAAGCCTATAGGGATGCTAGCAAATTTGAAAGTTTCATTTAATGGTAAAGAAGTAAATGATGTAAAATGCTATGTTTTACCAGGCAGAGGTCCCTCTTTGTTGGGAAGAAGCTGGCTTAACAAACTTGATCTGTGGCCATTCAAACTAGAATTAAATTATTGCAATTCAGAGGAGACAAGTGAGAAAGTAATGGCTAAGGTTAAATCATTATTCCCGAAATTATTTACTCCAGGGCAAGGATTTTATACAGGAAAAAAGATTAAATTAATTTTAAAAAAAGACACAGTACCTGTATAATTGAAATCACATAATGTGCCTTTTGCAATAAGTAACAGTGCTTTCTTCTCCTATTACTTATGATATTTCATACCATGACAGTTCAGTTCTTCGTTATATGTATTCAACAAGAATCGTGGGCTCTTAAAGTCACTTCATTTATTCATTTTCTTACTATTTTTGTCATGTATAATTTAATTTTCACTTTGCTGTAGTTCTTCTTTTACTTAGTGGAAACTTGGTACTCATCAATTGCAGAAATTTATTCTTCTTTCTTTGCTATTTTTGTTTTTGTTTAAACAACAATTATTTTGTATATAGTTTCATTTGTTTTGTTTTGTATAAATTGTGAGTTTATGTAAGATTGTTTTGATTTTGTTTACTTATTTATTGAATGTAACAGATCATTTGGCCAAAAGTAATTTTCATCCCAGAATAAAGTTATTTTTCTATTCAATTATATATGTATATATATATATATATAAAATACCTTATGAATTAATTAATACTTCACTAATGTTTGAAAAAGTGTATAATTTAATCACTATTAATGATGAAATTAAGAATAAAAATATAATATTTTAAAAATTAAGAGTTTCCCAATAAGTATAGAGTATCTGATAGCTAAAGATTAAGTTCAATGTGAATTGATTATAAATATTCATAGAATTAATTGTCATACTAACCAAAAAACATAGGTATTTCTAATTTTTCTTCACTATCCACCATTCGTTTCAGAAATACCAAATAAGAAGCGTAAAAAAATGCACTAACTAAAGATAATATCACCCCAAGTGGTAACTTCAGATCAAGTTTGGAATCAGAAATACTTACAATGCTCTGAAAATAAAAATTAAAGATTATATTTACATTGGTAAATGAATGTGTACTTTTTCTAATTTGAATGGCTATAACTCCAGAATACCAGCTACTGACACTCCCCTTCTCCATTTGCAAAATACAAAGAATCAAGCTTATCATTGTGACTACAATGACTACATCAATACGACTACAGGACTGATTTTGACGAGCCACCAACATGAACTAATTAATATTATGAACTCAGTATAGGGATCTTGAATCTGAGTTTTCAACAAGAATACATGTTTCAAGGTCTCTAGAGTCCAAATAATCAAGTTTTCATAAAAGGTTTGTGTATATATGAACAGTCTAGAAGTCAATATATTATTAGAAACCTAAATATTTTATAAAGTGAATATCTAATATATATGGTTGTAAAAGGTAATGGAAAGTCATAAAAAGCTAATGACTTTTACTAGTTGTAGTTCTATACTAATGTCTACTTTTATACTATTGAATGGGAAATCAATGTTTCATAAAACTAAATAGAAGTTCCATAGAAAATTAATTTTTTTTTTTTAGCTTAAACCTAAAATATATAGTGCAAAGAATTGTTATAATTTATATAAATGGTCTAAGTTTGTATGTATGACTAAATAATATTTTTAAGGTTCATCAACTTTTTACAAAATTAATTTCTATTGTTATTGGGGTGGTGGGTGGTAAGTGAAAGTCGTGAAATGCAATGCACTATATTTGTTTTATGTATTGCTATTATTATAAATCTTATTAGCTTAACTAGATGTTGTACTGTATTTTTTTTAATACAAAACAAGAAAATTATACTTTTATCTTTTAAAAATTCCATTATGTATGGTTACCCCACTATCCAGATCCTTAGTCATTGAATACTGAAATTATTTTTTTAAATAAAATTTAGTTTGTTTCCTTTTTAGCTTAATTTAATTACAATGGACAAATAATATTACTTAGTATTATATTTGATTCTAATATAATGTTTAATATTTATTTACTAAAGGTTGTTTAAAAAACTTATTTTTTATTGCAAGGAATAAAAATTATAACAATAAAATCTGAAATGAACCTTCAAATATTCAAAAAACATAAGCTATTAAAACTCAAGGAAAAAGTAAACAATATATCTGATTTGCTCTTTGGAACAAAAAGCGCAAATGTCCAAAACTAAGCTATTGAGGCTAACTAATCTAATAATGAGAAGAGAACAGCTATTTCAATAATTAAGGCATAACATACCCTTATTACTTTTGTACAGTTCACTCACTTTTATAAGTTTTGGATCTTGATCCTTTTAATACCAAGGTACAGACATATCAATAGATTTGTATAGAGATAAACAACGTTTAGAAAACCTTATATAATATTGACTAGAAGTTTTGGTTATGTTAGGAGTCAGGAGCTGGTATTCTGAAATATTATATTATGATGATATTAACATCATTAAATAAAACAGTTATGTGCACTAAATTTAACTAGGTAAGATATTTTAAAAGACATCATTTAAGTAAAAGTCTACATTTATAATATTCCATAACAATTACTTTAAAAACATTTAAACCACACTTCACCATCATGTAAACATCAAGTGGGTATCTAAATTTATTTATTACGAATTTATATTAAATTGAAGAGTATGAACTCTTTATTTGTTTAGTCAACAAATATCAAATTAGGGAACATCTTTCCTGGATATAAGTAGAGATTGAATTAAGTAGGCACTGAGAAATGCCTTTCAACCTAAACTGTCCAATGGCAGTAGCAAAGCACTGCTTAGGCATAACTTTGGATGAAGCACAGTTTTGTAGATGGAAACTTTTTTAATTATTTTTTTAATTATTATTTTCTGGTTTATTAATATTTAATTATATACAATTTTTTTATTATATATATAAATTATCATTTATATTATTATATTGTTATAAACATATATGTACTAACAATTTTATGAGTAAATTAGCTGAAAGGTTGGAACAAATTAGAGCTATTCACATTAACGATTGTAATAATTTAGACGAAATGGCAACCACTTTTGCAATTAAATCCGCTGATTATGACCATATTCCAGCATTCAATGGGGATCCACACAATTTGCTTAAATTTGAAACCGTTGGCCGACAAGTTTACAATATAGTCTGCAAACCCGATAACAACCTCCGCGAACTGAATGACCAACACTTACTCAGTAAAAGCCTAGCTAGACTTACAGGAGACGCTGACTACATTAATAAGACGTGTGAATTCACTGGGGTCACTGAACTTTTACAATATCTGGAAAATACTTTTAGGGATTCTCGTTCTATTGAACAACTAACATTTGAACTCTTTAATTTAAGAATCTGTCATAAAGAACACCCTCTAGATTTCCTTCAACGATTAGACAGAAGTCAAACACTGATTATTTCCAAAAACCGAATTCAGAACACTCCGGAACGAGCAACTATAGTATCCGCGTTAGAGAAAAATATATAATACCACTTTTTCACAAATATGCCTCTACATATTAGGACATATTTGATGACTAAGGCCGGAATAAAAACACTTGATGATCTGCGAAATCTCATACAAAATGAAAATCACCTTCTATTTGAAGATTTGATCAATTCTGGCAATATGAGGAAGCCCGGGGAAGCTCAGGAAGAAAACAGAAGAGGTTATGATAAGAGACATCATAAAAGACATCATAATAAAAATTATCACCAACCAAATTTTTACCGATCAAGAAATGATGAGCGTCGACACTCCCCTAGGAGAGATTATCATCAAGATTACCATAACAGTAATCAAAATAATCACCATGAAAGGAGAGATTACCAACCTCACAGAGAGCAGTGGAAACCCGAAGATCAAAGAAGGTATTTTCGAGGCTCAGGACAATCCAAAAATAATAAGCCCGCAGAGAAAGGTGAATCATCAAACACAGTCTCAATGCGTACCCTGAGCGGTTTTCAGAAAAACAACCCAAGACACCCAGTATATAAAGTGGAAGAAGAAGACCCGAAAGATAAAGAAATAAGAGAACTTCGTGAACGATTAGAGAGGCTCACCGCAAATCCAACAGAAGATCATTTTTTAGAGGACGACCTAGATCGGAATTACAAAACATAAAAATTCAGGAACTCCAGACAAATAATTTCCATAAACTGCCTTATGTAATTGAGAAAAAGGATCGTAAATGGCTACACGACACAGGAACACAAAAAAACTATATCAATCCAAAAATAGTACCTGCAGGAGTCAAAAGAGAAAATGAAAATTTAATCGTTTTAACAGCCGTAGGAGAGGAAAAGGGAACAGAAACTATCACCACTAAAATCAAAAACACGTTTTTAAAATGTCCCACAAAAGTGAAATTTTATTTATTAAATTTTAGTCCAAACCATGACGTTCTGATTGGTTCCAAACTCATGGATGACCTAAATTTTAAAATAGATTTTGAAAATAGACACATTAAATCAGACTATAGTGAATTTAACTTCATATTGAATAGGGACTCCCTCCTGATTGAACTCAAGAAAAGAGAAAATATAGCAGAAATACCTAAGGGAAAGAACTTTTATATAGATTATAAAACGGACGGACTGGAAATACCCCCAGGAATATATAGGGATAAAATAAAAATTATTAGTAATAAAAGCGGAACAGTCAAATTGCCTCTAATGCATTTCCAAGAAGTGGAAATAGTCAACCCACCAATAATAAGGAAGACAAAAATATAAATGAGCTGGTTAGAGTTGAACATATTCCTCCGCAACATAGATCTGAATTATTAAAACTCTTGGAACAATATCCTGCCATATTTAAAACAGAAAAAGATGCATTAGCAGCGACGGACCTACTGGAACACCAAATAAAAACCAAAACGGACCATCCAATTTATTCCAGAAATTATAGATACCCACAGCAATTTAGGGAACAAATAAGAGGAGAAATAAATAAAATGCTAGAAAACAAAATAATTACTCCCAGTAACTCACCCGTATGGGTAGTTCCCAAAACAGCTGATGCATCAGGGCAGAAGAAAATAAGAATGGTGATCGATTACAGAAAGCTCAACGGAGAAACGATCCCAGACCGATACCCCCTGCCGAATATTGAGGACTTACCCGGAAAATTAGGTAAAGCCAAAATTTTCAAAGCCATGGATCTTTGCTCTGGTTTTCACCAAATTAAAGTTGATAAGGATTCAGTTCATAAAACTGCATTCAGTACTGACCAAGGGCATTTTGAATTCTTAAGAATGCCATTTGGGTTATGCAACGCCCCTGCGACATTCCAAAGGGCGATGAATATTATATTTTCGGATATGCCACATGTATTGGTATACATGGGTGATATTATTATATTTTCTGAAACTTTCAACGACCACCTAAAACACCTAAAATCGGTTTTAGAAAAATTGAAAAAACATAATCTTAAAATCCAACTAGACAAACGGAATTTTGCAGAAGAGAACTATTGTTTTTGGGTCATACAATAAGTGAAAAAGGAATAGAACCTAATCCGGATAAAATAAGGGCAGTCAAGGAATTTAAATTACCTAAAACAGAAAGGGAAATAAAAAGTTTTCTCGGCTTAACAGGATTTTATCGAAAAATGATCCTTAACTACGCAAAAATAGCCTCACCTATGACAAGATGCCTGCGTAAGAAAGAAAGTGAAATAAACCCTGATTTCTACCGTGAAGCATTCGAACAACTAAAAACTTTAGTCTGTAGTAGTCCCATAATCCAAGTACCCAACTTTGAAGAAGATTTTTACTTAACAACTGATGCCAGTAATTACGCTATAGGAGCGGTTCTTGCTCAAAAGAATAATGGTTAAGAATTACCAGTTTGTTTTGCATCTAGAACGCAAAGCCGAACAAAATTATTCTACAACAGAAAAAGAGTGCCTAGCAATAATTTGGGCATGTAACCAATTTAGGCCTTATCTACACCGACCGTAAGCCCCTTGAATATCTTAAGACTTGCAAAACACAAAACACCCGTCTTATCAGGTGG